CATCACTTCTTATCCTCATGTTTCTTGCTCATCATCATCTTCTCACCATCGTTTTAATCATTGTCTTCATTTATATTATATCCACTTATCGATTTATCCCTTCATGAGTTTTTGGAAAAAATTTCTCTCCAAAACTTAAACATCCTCCAAATGAACTTTCATTATCTTATTAAAGTGAAAGTTTTTTTCTTCTTCTTCTTTGATAATATTAGTAAACAAAAGAAAACCTTAATTATCAATTAAATTAACGTTAATTATTAAAAAAGATTATCATTAATTAATTGAAACAGTGAAAATCTGAAACTTGTTGATGGGGAAACAATAAAAGAGGGGAAAAAAAACTTTGCTCTCTTTTCCCATGAATTTACCTGAACTTAGCCAGCAGGAGATTTCAACTCACCAGCCTGAACTTATTGTTATCGTGATGCTCATGATGATAAGATAATTTAAAGGCTTAAATTCACTTCCTACTGAAAAACTACAGGGAGAAAATGAAGAATTCAACAGAAATAAAATGAACTAGGAATCCCATGCAAACAACATGATAGTATTTTAGTTTATACCTTTCGAGTACAATTTATCATTTTCATCTTCATTTTCCTCTGATTATCATCATATTACTTCAGAATATTCTGATACCTTTGCCAATTGCAAGTTGGGTGGGGAAAGTTCAATAAATTCTTAAGCTAACAGAAAACTCCAATAGATATATATTATTATATATCTACTAGTATTTACTCATCTTACCTTAACCTTATTTTGGATATCGTTATATACCCTAAGGGTATTGTGAGTATGAAGGGGAAAAACCAACAGATATAAATCAATATTTATCTCATTTTAAGATAAGGATAAATTTATATCTTCCTTTTTTTTCATCATCATTTCAGATTGAAGATAAACTCATTTGAATGTATCATGAGATATTACATTTAAATCTCATGGAAAAAAAATGAAAGAAATGATCAAATGAATCAAACAGAATTTCAATGATTTCCTTTTTCAGAATTTCCAGAGTTTTCATGGTTATATTTTCCTACCAAGGTGATTGTGCTATTGAATAGGGAGGTCAATATTTGAATAGAATTGAAGTTTGAATCATAACTTGCATCAGGTAATCATGAAAATCCGATGAACTTTTTCTCAGGTAAAACTTTATTTTCCAATCAAAAACTTTTCTCATTTTCGATTCTCTATTAGCTCTTTGAATCGATTCTGTGATTTCTTCCCCTTTCTCTGTATTTCATCTTGACATTTCTTCATGATAGTGATATTGAAATAATGATAATCTGACAGATAGAATGGAAATGAGATTAATCTGTTCCCTTGATTATGATTAGGAAAAAAACAAATCATGTTGATGATTAATTTTCCATGTAATAAGAATCATCTTATGTTGATATTGTATGTATATTCTTGCAATAGATTGAAAAATGATTTTCTCTTTCTTTCGTCTTGAGATTATCATGAGAAAATCTTATTAGAATGATGAGAAGAGAAAAAAAAGTAAAATAATACATGTATCTTTGGATTTAACGATAATCATCATAACCGTCATGCTTATCATCAGCAACGAAAAATGTTCATAAAAAGTTCTGGTTACATGCTAATAATTCCCACAAGATGCAAGGTTTTAGTGAAATATGAAAAAAGAGAACTAAAATGATAACTGAATGAATGATGAATAAAAGCAAAACAAACAGAAAAAGTTCTGATAATCAACAGGAAATCGAAAGCTGAGCTCAATTCCTATCACCGAAAAAAAATATGATCAACTTTTCTATTCGTATCTTTTATATGCTGATCATCATTTACACTAATTTATTGTCAACAGTCAATTGTTTCCCTCTAATTATCTAATATTTTATTAGAGATGAATTAATTTGTTCAGATCAATATGAGTTGGAGGTGATCTCATGAAAATATCGTAACTGTTAATAGCCTTTAAAACAGAGGATTAGCTAATAAAAAGGAATCTAGAAAAGTTTGATTACTTTGATTGTTATACAATCAAATTGTAATTTTGATTAACTTTTCTTTTTGATGGAAAAAAATAATTTTGATCAAATTACAAGTGTAGAGAGGGAGAGAAAACTGAAAACTGAAAACTCAGGTGAAAATGTATTGAACTTTTTGAGAAAGACAAAGAATGGGAAAAAGACAAGAGGAACAAGAAAAAGTTCTGAGAAAAAAAAACTTTGATTCTCAAGTAAATTCTAAGGGATGAAGATAAAGGGATTGATAAGTAATATACAATATTAAGTAAAAAAAGAGATGAAGAAGAGACTCAATTGTAAGAGTATGAACAAAGGTAGGTAGGTAGGTAATGGTGGGTGGAGGGAGAGATTTACTATCGAAAATCATCTGGGAACTGTCAGTCTCATTGATTGGGTTCTTTTAATATTAATAAACAAATAGAAGAAAAAAAATAATAGTTATCTTCAAATGCTACAAATTCATGTTACTTATTCCCATTGTATTCATTTGCTATTTTGTTGCTTGGGTAACAAACAGAATCAAACAACAGAATAGCATCTTCCTCATCTCTTCAATATCCATCTTATCCATCTTCCTCATCCTCCTAAATCTTAACGGTTTTTTCTTCTTCTTCTTCATCATCCAACCTCCATTCACTTTTTTTTACTCATCTCATTGTTGTTGCTTTACTTTAGACTTAATATATTGAAGGGATTAGGGTTACTCTTTGTTTTTCTTTCAATGAACTTGATTTACTTTATTCAGATTAAGGTTTATTTTCATTTTATCTTATCCCTTTTTTTCATCCAACAAACAAAACCTTAAACAATCTGATGGATAAGGAAACAAAATATCATCAATTTGTTATCGAAAAAGTTTTAAAAAGTTTCATTTTCATTTGATTTGAGCGGAAAATCTTGAATATTGCATGTGATTGAGAAAAGTTTCAAACTGGTAAGAATTATCTTCATTAGGAGATGTTATTGAAATTGTTAGAACTTTTTTTTTCTTCGTCAAATTAACAACAATTTAAATTTTTTATCTAAAACAAGTGAAACTGGAATTAGAGTTGAAATTGGGTTGGGAGGTAGAGGTTGAGGAGTTCAAGTGATCAAGATGAGGCAAAAAGGATAAAGATATTCAGCAATTGACTGTAAATCTCATGTAATGTTAATAAGAATCAGTTAATCTTGTTCATCTTTCACATTAGCTCAATTGAATTTGAACCTTGTTTCTAACTTTTTTTTTTCCTTCCTCATCAACTTTTCTCATGTAACTATGTTACTTTTTCATTCCAATTCAGTCTCATGAGACTAATTACAAGTTTACAATTTATTGGTAAAAACTTTTCTGATTCCTTCGTCTTTTTATCTGATATTTCATCCTGATCTTATCCAGATTACATGAGATTATAAGAGAAACAAGCTTAAAGTTTTCCAACTAAGAAATAGAGCAGAGAGAGAAAGAGAGAGAGAGAGAGTGAGAGAGTTAACTAAGTATTACGATTGATGATAATGATGATTATCATCATTTAAAAAGAGAGAAACTATTAAATCACTGAAATTAACTTATATTAACAAAACAATCAATTCTAATCACATGTTATCAACATTTTGTTATAGCTTTGTGGTTATCCATCTCATGATAATAGTTCTGAAAATTTATTATCAAATTGGAAGGAGGAAAAATAGTCTTTCACTTGATCCACAATAAGAAATGATAATAATAATAATCATCATGATAATTGATTCCAATGAGAATTGCGAAGATTTTTCTCTTCATCAATTAAGGTGAATAAAGTTTATTCTGCAAAAAAACGATAATTGGTTCAATTAGAATCAAATGTTGCAAATCTACTGATGATTCTTTATTTTAATTGTTACATTTTCTATCTAGAGATTTAGTGTGATGTTCATGATCCATGTTCATTATATGTAAATGAGTTTCATGAGAATGAAATAAAAAAAGAATTGGATGTACATCATGTTTCTCAAATTAGATAACAGATTTAAATCTAATTAGTCTGATTGATGAAAAGATTTTCAAGATTTTAATGTTTGATTTTTTTCTTTGTCTTTCTAATTATCGATAATAATAAATTACCATGAATATGAAAACCTTTTCGGGTGTTAATTAGGTTAAACTACTCTCATCATAAGCTCAGAACTCTCTCTCTTTTGTTTATCTCCTCTCATCAGAACTTTACAATTCCGACCAAACCACTTACCATGTCATCTTCAATATCTTTTCATATAATTATTATTATTCATTTTCTTCATCATCATGGATATTATTATTATCTCAACAAAAGAGATTGGCAACTGAAAAGTTTCAAGAGTCTCTCAGTCAAAATAACGGATTAAACTGCTAACGATTCAATAGTCCACTTGAGAGATAATATCATTTCCAGGGTAATATGATTAAGTATTATCATTATCATCATCACCATAATGATAATTAATCAATTTATCAACAATAATCTGCCAACAATCAGATTATTGATCATTCTCACAGAACCATTATTTCAATTTCTGCTTATTATTAACCATTCAACTAAATTAATAAGTAATAATCTCTCCTTCACAATTATCTATATAAACAGTTTCGTTTGATTGTTTAATCAAATAAGTTAATCAATACAATAATTAACCACTTGTTGAAATTGATTCAGTTTCAAACTTGTTGATTTACAAGTTGATCATTTCTCATATCGCCATCTAGTGAAGTCAATACAAAGTTCAAGTCAATTTGGTCACTAAATTGTGGTGACAATTAGCTAATCATTGAGATGATTTCATTCAGATTTCAATAATATAATTATCCGATAATTAGCTAAACATTTAGAATCTAATTAGATTCAATTCTTGATTTGTTTCTAAACTTTCAAGTCAATCGTTGTTGTATTAATTGCTACTCGATAATTGTATTGTTTTTGTCACGTTGATTGATTGATATTGATTTTCAACTGGTGATTAGGTTAATTGTTATTATGGAAAAAGTTATCGAATTGATTTTAAACTTACCCAAAGGTAATGAACTTAAAGTTTCCTCATGATTAACATTTTCATCGTCAGAACTTTCAACTCCATCTTGTGGTTCATCGGGTAAACTTTTAACTTTATCATCATTTAAATTTTTATCTAATTTCTTATCAATAGTATCACTTTTTTGATCATCATCTTCATTATCGGTTAATTGTTTTAATGATTCCGATTGAATCTGTTGCTGTTGATCATTAGTTAGCTGATCAATTGGATGATTAGAACCAGATTCATCAGGTACTGAAGCCCATGAGAGTAGATTGTCCGAGAAAATTGGTCGAGGATTAAAATCTGATGTAGATGATGAATCCTGAACAGGAGATAACTATTAACAATTAAGAAAATGATTAGCAAAGATAATTACTCATTTATAAGTAACCTAATTATCACTCACATAATCATTAGCTGCTAATTGAGATAAATAAACAGGTACATTGATTTCCAGTTGATTATCTTGATAAGCATTCCAAAGATTTGGATTATCTTGAAATTGATTAATCGGTAAATTATCTGGATTAAATCATCAGAGAATTAGAAGAGAAAGAGAAACATAAACAATTAGCTAAACAATATCATTATTAATCTGAGAATTCATGATTATTCAAATTATCAGAATTTGGAATCACCAATTCTCATCATCATTCAATTATTAATCATCATCAAGACCAGAAATCCATGTATCAATTATTATATCTCTCAAAGACTGAATAATTGATATCAATGAATATTCATCAACATTTATCGGTGATAATGGTAACAGTAATTATAATCAATTCTGATTATCTTTCCAAATATTAACCAATCAATGGTCTCTACCAATCAACTAACTCATCATTCAAGTTGTCAGATTTAATCATCAAATTTTATTGACAATTAATTTCTAATCAGTTCCATCTGGTGTTGTTCAGTGTAAATAATTAATATCATGAACTACATGGATGCTAAACTCAACTTTATTGATTTATTTACTTTCATTTTGTATTAACTTTTTTTTTCATATATTTATTATCATCACAACTAATAATTAATATGAAACTTAATATGTCAATATCAATGTGAAATATTCACCATGAATCTGAGTAGATACCATGATCCAGGTCTAAATTATTATCATTAGTCTAATTATCACCAATGGGAAACTTATGATTATCTAATGATAACAATAATAATAATTATCTACCCTCAAGATATTAATATTACAATAGTTTGTGTTGATTGCTGCTTATTATTACTCAATTATAAATACATCACAATTGTTCAGGTTCATGATGAAGATGCTACAAGCAGTTGAAATCATATTTAACTCTCGGTTATTATTAAGAAAATAAACAAAAAAGTTCATTTTTTTATCTTCAATCTCAAGTATTATTTTCAGATCTCAGAAACCAGAACTTTTTTTTTCACTCATCTTTCTGAATTAAGTCTCGGTTTTTGTTGACATTTTTTTCTTCCTCCTTCTAATTTACCTGAAAACCTAAGTGTCACTATTTACATAAAACCACAATTAACTTAATTACTATCGAGTTGCGAGATATTATCAATGATACCAAGGATTACACGATAATGGAAACCTATTGAAAAGGTGATTAGGTAAGTGACATGATTATTACCTAATATTTGGTTGACAATTAACAACCTAATTTGTACATAATAATATGATTAATATGGTAATTAAATTGATAATTAAATCTGATAACTAAATTGACTAATGTTTCCAGTGACCAAAGTACATGGAATCCGTTCAAAATTGATTCATTAATCGTTTCTACACTGAGATTATAATCTAAATTATCGTTGACATTTTTCATGGTAAAAAAAAACAAAGGTAACAACATGAATATAATAACTATCAGACCGTAATTGATTGTTAAGGTAACTATTAAATAATTGCATTACCATTAGATGATGATAATAATAATGATAGTGGGAGTAAAGTTCTGATAACATGTAACCATGACGATGAATAAAATACTTACCATTTTCATCCTTGTCCATTGTTCCCATAAGGAGAGGTTCATCTTTACCGTTATTTAAAGTCATCTCTTGAAAACGTGATGTTGATGAGGATTGTGGTGACATAAGTCGAGCCACATCTTCGAGAAGGCTTAAAAGTGGCCTGGATTCCGTTAAATCATCTACCGAACCCAAATCAGTGCCAGAGTCTCTCAGAGGTTCTTGGAGTTTAAAGTTATCACCATTAACTGAATCATCAAAGGAAAATCTTTCATCCTCATTGTTTTCCTTAGCATTATCCTCCATGGGAATCCATTGAATGACACCTTCGGTGTAACCAGGTCGAAGTGGATCTAAATCATTGTTCAATTGTATATCTTTTAGCTGATCAATGAAATACAAAAAAAAAACGATAACATTAGTAATACAATTTGTTATAATCGACGATGGCTTGATAGCTTAATGATTGGAAAATTGTTCAATCAATAGTTTAGGTTGAGAATTGATGATGTTCAGAAAATGTTACATAATAGAAAATGAGAAATGATTATCATGAGATTGTTGTTTCTCAGTCCAAAAATATCCTAATCTTTGAATAGGTTAAGCAACTTATCTCATTTAATATTATTGACGTTTTCCATTATTATTTATTAACCATTAAGATGATTTATTTCCATCACATGATATATTCATCAGATTCTTACCTCATTTGAATCAGGTTCATGGAAAAAATAAGTTGGTCCTGGTTTCTTGATATCGTAACGATGTTGACGATAAAAGCTCCAACGTCGTCCAGGTAATGACTGGTCATCTGAATCATCGAAATCTTGATTACCTGAGAGAGAGAAAAAAGAAGAAAAAAAATGAGAAAAGATAATAAACAATTAACAGAATAATCAATCAGATAAAATTCTGTTCATGTAGTAATCATATGGAGGAAAAATGAAACTGTCGCATCAATATAAAGGTGAGAATCATAAATTGTCAGGTAAGATATGATTCAGTGGATTAGTTGATTAGATGAAATTAATCCGGCTTCTTGTCGGTGATTGGGAAAATAGGTCAATATGTTGGTTAACCTTTAACCTTAAACTGTATCCAGAATGTCACCTTACCTAGTAAATGATCAGCATAACTTAAGGTTGCCAACAGGTAAATGTAGAGTAAAGGTAACCAAATAAGCCGAAAATGGAAACAAACATTTCGATGAGATTTCATTATGATGATTTTCACTTGGAAACAGTATGATGATGATGATGATGCTGGGGATTAAGGTGATTATGTTGATGACAATAGAGAGACAGAGTTGAAGATGAGGATGAGGATGAGGATGAAGGTGATGAAGGTTAAGTTGTTTGTGATGAGGGAAAAATTTTGTTAATATTAATTTCCTGTTGACCTGTGATATTTGACACAAATGCCACACTGTCAACAATCAGCTTGGTTAATCATTTGATTGTGTGATTTGTTTCCAATATCAGATCTTGTATCTTTACTCTTAATAATCTAATGATCGTTAGATAATCAATTTAATCACAATCAAAAAATATTCCACTGGAAGATTAAGATGAAGAAAAGTGAACAATAATAACAACAACAACAAAACTGATCAATTGTTATAAGCCAAAGATTACAATTAATAAACCAGAAAAGTGATTAACAATTAACACAGATAATGTTGATGATTAACTATCAGATTTAATTGCAAGCAATATGTAAACACAACAATTTATAATCAGATATATAATATAAAGGTAACCAGAAAATTTTTGGGTTGATTTTGATTTGAACAGTTTTAAAAGATTAACCAGATTATCAGGTAAACAATTTAGCCTTTGATTGGTTGTTTATTTATATTTATATGGTGACAATTAAAATAAATTGTGTATTCCAATGTTTGTTTATTTCACTTTATCTTTTGCTTATGGTCAACAATTAACCATGATGGTAAATATTGGTGAGCCGATGATTTGGTTAATCTCTGTCCGGTTGATTAGACAATTTTTTATCCAATGGATTATAAAGAAAGTAACAAAACTAAATCAAGTATTGTCAACCATGATTACAATTAAATAGATATAAAAATTAACTCCAATAAATAATAATAATAATAGTAACAGATGAATATGTTTGGATTATGGTGGAAAGAAGGAGAAGAGAAAAAAAAATGAGAATTGAGAATTTAGGAGACAGGGAATTTGATATTATGATTCTGTCTCTTTCTTTTCTTTCTTTCGTCTTGTTTATTTGGGAATAACATGAGAGAGAAAGGAAGAGAAGAAAGAGAAAGAGAAAGAGTAAAGTAAAATGGCTACCAGAATATTATCGATCCATGAAATGCGTAGGTTCGAATATTGGAATCATGAAAAGAGAGAAAGAAAATAGAACCGAATAACATTGGAAGACTTGTTTCTCTCTCTCTCTCTCTCTCTCTCTCTCTCTCATCTCGTTCTCTCTTTTATCATCATCATCTTTCTACTCATCTTAATATTATTACGGCGCAAATTCTGTTCTTTTTCTCGATGAGTGAATACAGAAAAGGGAAAAAAGAATAAAAAAATTCCGAAAGATTAAAAGCTAAAAGATAAAATTCTGATGAAAATTTATCATTCTAATCACCTGATTAAGATTATCCATTAATTGAACTGTTTATTTTTACTTGTGAGCGAAGGTTGAAAGATTTTTACTTTTATTCATCATCTTCATGCTCACAATTCAATTAGTAGTTATAAAAAGTCTTCTGCCCCTTTTTCCTTTTCTTTCTTCTTTTAAACGAGAATTTCTACCACTTTTACCTCTTTCTTTTTCCTTTCTTTTTCTCTTCTTTTTCTTTCTTTTTCTCTTTCTATTTAGTTAAAGGTCACACTACGTGTCAGAGTTTTCAAATAATTACTTTCATATAAGAAATTTAAATAATTATATTAATATTCAAATTAAGTATAATGTTCAATATGGATTATAAAACATTATCGACTGAACCGGAAGTGGTTAATGTTGTGATCTCATGTATTCTTGATAAAAAGTTGAATCCAAGTGATTATGGTGAATATGACCCATGTAAATTTTCCGGAATAGTACTAAGAGATGATAAATCATGTCTTCTAATATATCATTCAACAAAAATCAATATAACAGAGTAAAGTCACTTTGAAGGAACAGATAATACATCGGAACTTACCGGATATCAATATTATTTCATCAAGAATTGTAAACATCACAGCTACAGCTTCAATACTACGGAAATTGACTTCAAGTGTGTATAATAACGAGAACTTTCATGGAGCCTGAACTATTTCTGGTATTATACCGGAAACGGAAACATGTTGCAACTCTTCCGTTCTAGGAAAGTTAACCTAACTGGTTTCAAAGCAGTTGAAGAGATAGTCTTTTCAACGAGTTTCTCAAGAGTTTACCACTAGTATAAAAGGAGTAAAACTGAAACAGATTGATTAAAATGTATTCTTGTAACAAGTGTAATAGACTATCCAAGAGAAAAAATTGTTATAATTGTTCTACCAAATACAAATGTAGTGAGTGTAAACGAACATTCTTCATTGAATCAAACTGATGATCATATAGTCCAATGTCAGTCAAAGAAATTTTTGGTCTAGCTGACTTTGATCCCTTTGTTTTGGTGATTAGTGTCAAACAATTTTGGTGATCTATAAACGAGATAATCTAACATACGATGACCTGGATGAATTATTCAATGATCATCGTAACATAATTGAAAACCTTTTTCTATATTAATGAGAAACTAAATGTTTCAAATTTCAAATCTGTGTATTTGTCCATTTCGTGAAACCAAATGATGGAAATTCAACAACGTCTTATATTTGTTCATCTATGAAAACTATAACAACTCCATGGAATTCAATGGATGTTTTAAATGAGTGTCAAGTTGAAATAAGTGCAACAATCGATTCATTTACAAATAAAGGAGTGGATGGGCCATAGATGAAATCTGTACAATTGAAATACGTGTTGCCAAATATCGTCCTGATTCTGGTGGTTGTTATAAACAAAATTACCAGATTGGATTCATAACAAAGCCATAATCTCACCAAACTGTGAAAGAAATTGTTTCATCTACAGTGTGTTGATGGGGTTATAACACAAGTGAAAACGCACAAAAGTCAGTAAATATAAAAGTATCTTGACAAGTACTATGATTTCAAAGGTGTTAGAAATTTGAGATTCCAAAATTCGAAAAAGTACACAAAATTTCAATCAATATTTATTCATTGGACTATGATGAAAACATTATACCACTTCAACTATCGAAATTCCAATTCTCGAAAGTGGTCAACTTATTTCTTCAAGAACATTACTACTACATCAAAAGCTTTGACCGTTTAATCAATACAAAGGCCGGAAAATCATTGAAGCGATGTCACAAGTGTCTTCAAGGTTTTTCCAACATTGATAAGTTTCTATCACATCAACAAACGTGTCAATCCAAACAACTTGTTCTCCTTCCACAACCCAATACAAAAATGATTTATTAAGTTCAAGGCATTGAAAAGTATCCGTTTATTGTTTTGCTGATTTTGAAACATTAGCCAAAACAATAGACAATTATTATTCCAATACTTTTGAATATCGCACATACCATCTAGCTTCGGATCGTCTGTGTAAATTGATGGAGAAATCATTTACTCAAAATTTTATCGAGGAACCAATACAGCGGCAATATTTTTGATGAGTTAAATCGTTTACCATTTCTAGTTCAACAAATCTTTTCAAGAGTATAGAAGACAAGAGGAAACATTCAAAGTTGAGATACCAATGTCAAGGAAAAAATACAAAACTAACAAAAACCCATTATTTGACCAATTCATGATTCTTGATGAAAATAAAGCCATTTGTAAGGAAATAATTCTGTTGTATTGATAAACCAATCCATTTTGGCTTCACTGTTCTTGAGTACGTAAAGCTCAAAATGTATCAACTTCATTATGATACATCAAATCTTACTATGGAAACAAGATAAAACTAATCTACACTGATACCGATTCATTCATCTACCATATTCAAACAAACAACTTCACTCACGATTTAATCAACTTTAAGGATATTATGGACTTTGTGATTACCTGAAAATCATCCTCTTCAGTCAGATTGTCATAAAAGATGCTTGGTTACCTCAAGGATGAGATGAATGGAAACCAATACACGAAGTAATAGCCATTAAACCTAAGATGTACTTGATTAAAAGCGACGAAGGGAAAAAGACTGCCAAGGGGGTTCAACGAGTAGTGTTGAAACAACAGATCAAATATAACCATTTCTTTTCATGTTTATATGATTACACTACTTATCGTCATACAATGCATCGTCTTCAAAGTAAGGAGCATCAAATCTATGCTGTGTCGACTGAGAAGGTTAGCTTATCACCTTTGATGATAAACGGTGGCTATCAACCCAATTGAAACATACGTATGGAAATTATAAAATAAATATGGAGACTTTGATTTAAATTTAAAAAACCTTTATTAAAATAATGTAATGTTCTCAGAACTCTTTACAAAAATATATTTTAAAATAAGAAGAAAATATGTTATTAAAATTATTAATAAAATACAAATTATTTCACAAATACTTGAACAATTTGTCATCATTATTACATTCATAAAACTTTTCAAAAAATGATTGATAGTTAGGCGTGAATTTGAGAAATACGATACAATAGTAACCACATCTAACTGAAAGATCACCTTGTAGTTTCTTTATATTATATTTCCAACCAAATTTGGAATTCTCCATAAAAGTGATAATTGAGGCTGGTGGGTAACGACCATAAGAATCAAAATAATAGGCTGGTCCATTGACAGGGAAATATATTACAACCCAGTGACTACCAGGCTTCCAGCTTTCATCAAGATTTACAATAAATGATCTTGGTTTAGCTATCAATGTTAGTGGTAAATGATCGATAGGAAAAACACCTCCAAAGTAAATATTCTTCTTCATATATTTGTGAATATCCCAATTTGTTAAAGCCATTACCAATCAATAGATACGTTTCTGTATTTATCAATTTCTATCAAATTATCAAATTGAGCAAAAACAATCATATGAATTGGTGAAGGGTAGCTTCTTTAAATTTTACTTCAATCTTTATATTCCCTCTTTTCAATAGACTAAGTGTTCCAGTTTCACCACCAAGTGAAACATCCGGAGAGAGATCAAAAGCGTAAAGACAAAATGTATCTTTAAAGTCTTATATATATTGTACACATTGAACCCTCGTGTTGATTGATAAATCTATAGAGTCCAATAAACTCTTTCATATACAAGTTACTATCATAATCAGGATTGTAGTTATTAGTAGGAATTAAGTTCCATTGACAGCACATGATATTGTTTTGATTCCTTGATTTCCAAATTTAAAGGGACCGTCAGAACTGTTTCCATTGATATTATCATCTTTAACGAAACCAATAATCATTCGTCTAGGTAATATCCCATTGTAAACACTTTCAAAACTAATTGATGAATTGGACTTTGGAATAATGAAACTCTTCATATCATTTCGAGTAACAAAGTATTTGGCCGAAGCCTTTTCAAGAGCTTCCTGAAGTCCAACACTAACATTACTAAATAATTTGACTCGTCGAATAACAATAGCCAACTCTTGAATAGTTAATTTATAATTAATAGCTGATTCTCCAACTCCAGGTGTAGTTTTCAGAAGACCAAATTGTTGATTAGCTCTATTCATTTTGACGAGGATGGGGACACCATTGAGTAAAAGATTATCCTGAGTACACATTGGAATATGTAATCTAAAGTAGAAATCAAAGGACTTTTTTATACGTTCTTTTCTATTATCAGCAGTATCCCAACCTGCCCCAACATCGATTTTTGATGGGAATCCAAAGAGTAAATCTTCAATACAAGCTTGGTAAGGATATAGATTGTTTGATTGACCAATGTTTATAGAACCTAGATAAAATCAATTTGTTCAAAAGTGTGGTGGCAAAACCATCACAAATGTTGACCTTGATACATCAATTTCAGTGTCAGTAGATGTTTTCAAACTTAATCGAATGTAAACCATTGTTTCTGCCAAGTCTGTAAAATCATCAGAGGCTGGAATAGTAATGTCAATATTTTTTATTATCCAATGTTGAACTTGGTCTATATTCAACCTCATAATATGATTCAATAGCAGTCTGGGTGG